CCAGGCCCCTGATCCAGGTGCACTGAGTGCTGTCATGTCCTTGTCCTTACGGAAGGCACCCTTCCCGTTGGAAGTGGGGGGCAGCTCTCCTTCTCCCCTGCGACCCGGAAGCACTGCCAAGTCAGGCTCCTTATAGATTAAAGGACGCGCACACTGCTCTGAGGTGTCTTAGAGGGTCTCCTATCATTTGCAAGCCAATGATACCAAGAGGGTGATCTCAAGAACCTGGGCTAACTAACTCTTTCTTCCCTCTGGCTTCCAGGAAGCTCAAAAACAAATCTGACACATAGCTTTTTCCTTCCTGCCTACCTTTTTTATGGCTCTGATTTTATATTTTCAACTTACTGTAACTCTATTGCATAAACTCTCTTAAATTCTTTTTAGAAAGAGATGGAGTAGGAGTAAAGAGTGTCCATGATATTTAAAGAGATCTACAAAGTAAATTCCACAACACCTCACTCAGGCTATCACTTTATTCTCCTCGAAAATGTTGCTGCCCAGTTCTCTCTCAGCAGCTACAAAAGCCACAATTACCAAGGCAATTTTGCAATGCTGTTTTATTTCCACTTATCCTCTGGGGCACACAGGAGAATATTTTACCTTCAATCAAGGGGCCTTGCCGCTGTCTTCCTGACAGCCCTGCAGCAGCTCATCTGGCATGCAGCACCGCACGAATTGTCCGCACAATCTTTGAAGGCCACAGGAGCCAACACGAGAGCCCAGAGCTAGGCCAAATAATGGGCCTGCAAATCTTTGGGGGATTTACTGTGAGCTGCCCAACTTCCAAAGATTGTGAGCAGAAATTTGATCTGAGAAATCAACAGAAACAGCACTGAAACCAGACAGCCAAACTTCAAATGAAGAAGACTTGGCTTTGAGGTTGCTCTTCAGTTTGGGGTACTCAGAATTAAAAAACATCAATTCAGGTCCCAGCAGGATGAGGCTGCCAGGGCCTGCCAGAGGAGAGAACAAAAGCAGCACTTTTGCTGTGTAGGGGCTTTGCAAATAAGACACCACTGTGAAATGCTAGGCCACGCTGGGCAGATATTCAAGATCTTGTGGCAGATTTCAATGGATTATTGCAGTATTTTGGGTTGAAACTCAGCTGAAAATCCCTGAAAAGGCTGACTTCTCCCCAGTAGGGCCCTTCACACATTTGAAAAGTTACAAATATGAAACAGATCTCACATCTGATTCCATTATGCCCTTCTTGTGCCTCGGTTTCAACTGTGTTATCTAAAAATGGAAAGACATAACAACAATACCTATCAAAAACTCAAACATCTGGTCACAGATGAGCAGAATTAATTCTAAAGCACAGTGTATCTTGGTTGTGGGCCATGGAAATTTAACAAATCTGCAGGCCACAGTGATTATA